CCATCACTCGGTTGTGATGAATGCAAAAATATATTAACAGCAAAACCTGAGGATGCTGCACCAGAGAAGACATTTACATTCATCAAATCTCGAGGAGGTTTGTTATATCCAAGCTATAAGCTTTGCCAATTGATGTACTGGGCAGAAAGCAAAGTATGCGAAAAATTAACAAACCCAAACATGGATGTTTATTTTTCAATAATGGATAATATATTAAATCAGTGCTCTGTTACATTGATGATAGGATGTGACAATGCTGGTCACAAGTCCTACTTGACTTCCAGATTTTTGCACTTTTTTGTTACTTGTCGATTGCATTTTTTCACGCGAACGATTAATCAATCATTTATTTCATCAGTTGAAAGTAAAAACCATAGAAAAATTTCTCACTTAAAGTAAATTTTAATAACGCAAATAATAAAAATAATAATTATTATTAATATGTATAATATAATTTGTTTGTATGTATAATAAATTTTTAACGTATAATAAATTCACATAATAGCACGATTTAATAATACTATTGTGTCAGTTTTGTTCCTTGTCATTTATTTAACTAAATATCAAACTCAGCATTTTTAAAACACTTAATAAAACATTAAACACCTTCCATCACTGAGAAATGTTTATTTAATAAAACACTAACATTTTCAGCCTCATGGAATAAACCATCCTCAGGTGTAAATGAGTTCAAACGTATTTTATTAAATAAACATTTCTCAGCGATGGAAAGTGTTTAATGTTTTATTAAGTGTCATTTATTTATCCATAAACCTGGTTTTGGGTTTAAATAAAAGCTTTTTCATTCTTATAATAAAATGCATATAAAAAAATTATGAAATCGAACTTGAAGGTTATATATCTTTCAATAAAAAGAAAAACATTCGTCCTCACAGCGATTCGATCTAGCGCTCTTGCAGTAATTGCAGTGCCCCTGGTGGTAACATTTGTCTTTAGTTGATTTTAACAACGAGCGAAGATAGGTAGTCAAAAGACCAGTTAATCTACCGACTCTGGTGGTAGTAATCTTTCTTTTGAATATATATATATAACAGCATTCTTTTTTGTTTTGAATAACTTTTAAAACAGATGGGAGTTATTATTTCATATAGATAGTCAGGTGACAAAAGGAAATTGTTTCAGATTTCATATCAATTAAAGAATTAGCAAAAAATGGTTTAATCAGTGCAAGATCAAAATTTTTTAGTGAAAAATTGGTACCAAATCAATTTTTATGCAAAAAAACATCCTTGGGAATACTTTTTATTGATCATAGGGATCTCTGATGCCTACAAAAACTTAGAGAAATTCTAAATTGAGATCGCCTGTTATTGATGCAAATGCTGATTATTGGACTATGCAGAATGCACACCACCTCATAATACAACTGAGGTCTTTTCATCAATCAATTGAACCTTTGGAGAAAGAGTTATCACTCTTGGATACCCTAGTCACTATCCAAACACACTCCTGTACTTCATATTCACCACACTTCGATCCATACAACTTTACCTCTGGGGTCATGTGGTGATGTTAAGTAAACTCAAAGAACACTTCCACAGAATGAATAACAATGATCATCATGTTTTCTATTTTAAACAAACTGCAACATTACTCTCAGGCAAGAATGCACTTAGAAGTTCTTTGATTTTTCGTGTTTGTATTTGCAAAATGGCTACTCTCATTATTCATTAAACAATTCATTTGCAATCTCATCATCCAATGCCAACAACCAAGATGACAAATAAACACAGAAAACTCATCAGGATGATTTAACTACAACCAAAAGTTCACTGGCATTCGCAAGGAAATTTCAAAAGCCACCAAAACTAGAATATGCTACTGTGGAACCCAGAATTTTCAACTTATTAAAGAATGACAAGAGCAAGATGGAAATAACAAGTGTCTTGGGAGTCTGCATGATTCTCATAAAGGATGACATGTTTGATAGAAATTTGAAGTACATTGGAACTGTAAACAGATCATTACTCAGCATATTGAAGAGCACAAATATAGCATTGGAAGAGGGTAACAGTCCTATCTATATACATATCAGAACCAGATGTTAAAGTTAAATTTGAGGAGGAATGGTTAATACATTCCACTAGTAATGTAGTTGATCTGAAAGATCTAGAACTTTTAGAGATCTTAAAATCAAGAATAAAAAAAAAGGTTGCAGTTTCAACTATGAGGACATGGAGTTCATCTCTGCCATATGGAAGTCTTGTTATAATACTCCTTGATCATCTATTGATGCATTCCTTCCTTTCTTCCTCCCTAAAGTTTGTAATATTTTATTACTTTAGATAGGTTGTATTTTTATCTTAACATCCTTAATTTGTAATAATTCATTCCTTTAGATATTATTTGCTTAATTTGTATCTGTATATTGATTGTGATTCCTAATTGGTTTACATGTATTTTAAACCATTCTAAAATCTTTATAAAAGGAACTTTAAGCCAAATGTTTGCCAAATTACAATTGGGCTATATTACTACTATAATTAAATGTCAAGTAATAACTTGACATTTAATTAACAGTAGTAGTAATATAGCCAGATATAATCTGTCAATTGTTTGGCTTTAATATATAACTATCAGGTTTTGATGTTTATATCTAGAACTTTTAATTTTGAAATGTTCTATATTGGAACTTTTGCAAAAATGTTATATGGAAAGAATGTTCTTTCCAGATGTAACATGATAAAAGCTTATTGAATCAGGTTGAAAACGTTCATTTTAATTAAATATTTTCTGTCTGTACTGGAATTAAAGGTATGAAGTTATTTTGAACTGCATTTCCAGTTAATACATATCTATTATCCACAACTGCTTTTGTAAGATCTGGGTCTCTCCAAATCTAATCAAAGGTTTTTTTGTGCTCTAAGATCTCTTAATTGTCTAGTAATTATTCCTGTATACAGAAAGTTGGTATCAAGTAAGTGGGATAGATAAATAGCATATACACCTGATTGTTCAAGAATGGTGAGAGGTTCTATCCCTGACTAAAAGTCTCCTGAGACTAATACAAGAAGCCATTAGAAGAATGTATTATAATTATACTTGTGAAAAGAGACCTAACTTCAATAAAATGTTGACATAAGATACAGCTATGAAACAATAATGCTTCTGGAGCCTATCAAGCATGCTGGGAATAGGAATTAACAGATCTTTCTTTGAATATAAACAAACTTGCTATTAGAGGAACTGCCTTCCGTAAAGCAATCTATGATTTTGAGTTCATTACTTAAAGTACGTGGGACAACAAAATATGAAATGCCCTTCTGATAAGTATGCTAATTGCTAGATTCTTAAATATGGGAGAATGGTAAGATTTATTGCAGATGATTAGCAGGGAAGTTGAATTTATGAAGCATACTAAACTCTAATTGTTGTTACCCATGTGTAATATTAAGATCAAGACATGATATAGTACTATTGCAAACTCATACTCAATGTAAAATTTTATAGATAAGTAGATACTATTTATGAAAATCACAAGTCCCAAGAAGTCATGGTCTGAACCATTCCATGCAACGAGAACATAGTCTATGAACCAGAGATTTAAAATGAAAGATGCATTTTTTACATAAAATATAATCAGGTTAAGCATTTCTTATCTACCTATAATTTGAAATTGTTAGTTTCTGATAAAATGAAACAATTACACACTCCTACTTAAATACTTAAAAGCCGATAAATTTCTTGTAATTCTAGTAAAATTCAATTGAATAGTAAAAGTATATCTAGATTATTGCAAATTCTAGTGTTTATAAATATATATACTATTTTGCAATAAACACACAAATCTCATTTAAGAGTACATCTAATTATGATGAAGTACTTTTAGGCAATTTCAGTTTCATACTTGTAATAAATTGTTCTTCATTGTACATCTATGTAAAAATCATATTGGATTTCTTTTGTTAGATATAAAATCTAGAACTGTGATGAAATAACTTTTTGACTTTTTCACGTAGCTTCGACTCAGTTCATACTTATTGCACGTTTAAAATTCTGAAAGTAAAGATATATATCCTCAGATAAATAAATACTTATTAGTGTTTGAAATAGACTGGGATTATTTAACATTATATTGTAATATATCCATTTTATATAAATGATTGACAAATCATAACTGTATAGAGAGAAGAATTATCTCAGAAACGAAAGAAAGAATCTAAAGCATTGACAATAGCAAATGTAAATAAAATTTGACATTTTCTCTGTTTGGTGAGATCAGAATCAAACAGATTATTCTTCATATTAATATAAAATCAGAATAAGGTAACACATAAAAATTTTATAAATTGCTATTAAGGATGACAATATAAATCTCTTAATATATATATACACCATCATCATGTAAAAATTATTTTGACATTACAACATTTTAAATGAGTATGAGCATGCAAGAATATTTAAACAAAACATAACATTACCAAATTATTGGGCAAATCTGTCCACTGAGGATTCGATTGTCCTCTTTTATAATTTCCATTTGAAGAAGTTTTCTTAGTATTTCTTGATGCCATCTTTTTCTATTTTCAAATTTTACTGTTTAACATACCGTACCAACATACCTAATAATATAAACTGCGTTATCGCTTACAGTTTAATACTGTTTATTCGAACCAAACAGTATTATATATCAAATTAACTAAAATGATAGTTTAGGTATAATGTTTCTTTTTTTTATAAATATTTACTTTCCAGACAGTATATTAATATACTTCGAACGAAAATAATTTCATAAAGAACAACCCAGTTAACCTGCCTTATATTTAGCGCCTTCTACAGGTCAAAATCTCATTTAAAACTTTCGTACTTCATAATAGATAATTTACTGCTTATATCATTAAAAAAATATCAGATAAATTTATAATATTAAAAAATTAAAAATAAATAAATTATTTCTCGAAATAAATTATAATTAAAAATGTTAAGCTCATTAAAAAAATATATAAGTTCAAATAATTAATATTATCGAAATTTTATAAATATTAATTTTAATAAGTAATTGATTTTTTTATAATTAATACGTTTTAAATACGAATAATATAATAATTTATGATTTTATATGGCCATCTGTCGAAGCGATCGGCCATAGACATTAACGTCGGTCGGATTAGAAAATGTCGGGGAAGTATTATTTTGTTATTGTTGGGCATTATGACAATCCTGTTTTTGAAATGGAATTTTCTCCGCCTAGCAGATCGGAGGGAAAGGTATCTCGGTCTAATTCGTTACCTTAAAAATAGAAACTGTTTCATCAGCTTGTTTGTAGATATCGGCGTTAATGTACTAGGTTAGAAAACACGTGACTATAGTATTAATGTTACTATTAAAGAAATAATAATTTATCCATAAATGATAAAAATTATAAAAAATTGCGATATTCTGTTATCAAATAAATAAAATTCACATGTAATACTATTTATTAACAAGTTATTAAGCGTTGGGAGTAGAAGTTACTTTTAGGTAAATGGTCCATATATACATATATATTTGTTGACCTAAAAGTAACTTATACTTAAAAATGGTTTGTATACTTTCCTGAATTCTTTATATTTCTTTATCCTTTTTAATGCTCTGATTATCGATCGTGTAATCGTTCGGTTGTCATTAATCAGTCGTTGAAATATTCTGGAAATATGCCATCGAATAGAACTCAAAATAAAGTGATTGGATATGTAAATTTATACCAATGGCAGATAAACTGGATGTAAGAGAAGAATTTGCCAACAGCTTTGTCAAAATAACTTATGTTTTTACCGATTAATAACTTCTATGGCTGTTATTTTATTTGTATTTTATCTCAGTGTTATAATATTAAATTATCAATTTTTAATATGCAATATAGTTTGAACTATTGTTTTCTAAACTAACCAATTTACGTAGCTTCCGATGTTTGCTTGTTCTATAAATCTTCTATTATATAATTAGGTCCAAAATTTATACGGTGAAGATTTAGGGAACAAGCACTAAAGATACTTTTGAAGAATTTTCATTCATTACACAAAGCTACCATTATACTTTTTGTAGGTGTATTTGTTTGGTATTAATATTAAAATTGGTTTAATTGATATTTACATTCTTCACATGTCAAACTTTAACATTTATAATACAGTGGGTGATCGGTTAATGAACAAATCGGATAACGAACACTTTCGCGAAAGATTTTTATGATCGGACAATGAACACATGATCGGATAACGAACACTTCACTGAACAGACATAAAAAGAAGCGACGGAAATAGCAAATACCGACTGATTTTCCTTTGTTTTCAGGTAACTTTTTGGAGCGCGGGAGACGTCAACATCGACGCTCAACCCAGTATATGCTGATCGGATAGTATTCCTCGAACTTTGAAATACTCCCTTGTAATTCCAACCTTTTATTTTTCTGACAAACAATTCTTTTATAGTATTCGCGAGACTGTCGGGCGGGCACTCATTAAGTTTTGTGTCGGTTTTTATTTTCGAAAGGTGAGAGTATAATAGCAAAGGTAGAGAGTGCGCAAAAGATGTCTGATGTTGCTGGACAGTATGGCTTGAACAGGTCTACAGTAGGCCGCAGTTCAATCTTATCTAAGAAAGATACTGTATTATCAAGAAGACTCAAGCAGCTAAAGGAATAACAAAAATCACATCTGAGAAATAAAGAACAATGAAGAGCTCATAATGGAACCTGAAACGGATCTGACGACAGAAGAACGTCAAGAACTCTTGAATAGAGAACACCAAGAAACTCGGCAAGATATGTTTTATTCTGAAAAAGAGGATTAATGCCGATATCTGCTATTAATTAAAGATCTTTTGAAGAAATGGGGGATGTCAGATCAACGGTCTTAGAATGGCATACAAACCAGGTTGAGGTTAATAGGCTTGGGGATCTCTACAATTACAATGCTATTAATTACTTCTGAAAAATCCCGAAGAAGAGAGAAAAGCAATCGACATTAGACAGATTATTTAACCCCCACAAACAAAAAACCATAACTAATAAAAATGCACATCTGTGTATACATATAAATAAACGTAGTAAGAAAGTATATATTTTTTATTTTGGGATGTCTCCAGAACGAATTAATCAAATTCCCATACAAACCTATGGTAAATTCATAATCGGTTAACGAACAATTCGGATAGCGAACAAAGTCTTGGAACGGATTATGTTCGTTAACCGATCACCCACTGTATATTTAAACTTTATTCTTTCAATAAGAACGTATACAAATATAATAATATATACATATAATAATCAAATACACATGTTGTCCATCCTTACGTTTTGGGTAAATGTGTATTTGACTTATTTAAATAAATAAGTTTATAATTTAAAAAATAATAAGATTATTTCAAGTTAACTTTAATTTTGTTGTGTTTATAAACTATAAAGTTTATTAAATTGATAGAAAATTTTAAAATTTTTAGATAAATGTCATATTTCATAATACAAATATTGTTTATATTAATGTAAGATAATGAAAAATATTACAGTAGAGCATTGATTATCCAAAACAATTCAAGACTGGGGTTGTTCTGATAACTGATCATTTACAAAAAAAATATATTAAACACAAAACTGTACTGTATATATTTTGAATCACACATCTTACAAATTCATACCTTACATAAAGTAGGCCTAAGTTTAGGTTGGCAGGGAGGAAAAAGTACTGCAATGCCACAGCACTAGTAGAAATTTGAATTTGCCAATTGGAACACTTTCGGTTAACCAATGTTTCAGTTGATCAGTATTCAGATAATCAATGCCCTACAGTAGTTACATTCTAATTTAGTTTCAATGCAAAACAAATACTGTATTGCAATTATTACAAAGGAGTATATAATATTTTCCTCATAAAATGTTTAACAGTATTTCTTAAGATCACTTTGTATGAGAGAAACACATCAGATCAAGAATATATTAAACACATACTTTTTAATAGTTAAATTTTTTGTATACATTAAGTATTTTAGAATAAAACATTTAAATGTATACAAAAAAAATTTAGTACATTGTTTTGTGTACATATGAAAAGAAGTAATTCATGATTTCAAGCTAATCAAAATATATAAATAAATAATAAACAGAAAAATCTTTTCCTCTCTTTTCTTCATAAACAAATAAGATATATTTATTTATATAATAAGTTTATTATTACTGAATATTAAACTAAAATATTGATTTGTTAACCTTTTATGGTTAAAAAGTTCATTTTTTAAAGATAAAATGAATGCTAATTGATTTAAAATAATATTCAGTAAATAAATTATTTATCTTACCCCAGTATTTAAATTCTTTCCTTCCATTACACCATTCCATTCTCCCGTCACAGTATAAAAAGGCTTTTTGTCACTTGGTTGAAAGACATTAGCAGTGATACGATGTTTCTTGTTATTGTAGAAAGGCTAAACAATATAAATGTATAATGAAATAATTGCAAAAACTATAACATTGTATCATCATAAGTTACTTATGTTTCCAGTAATCAGAAAGATTCACCAGTTAAATAATTAAATTATTATATAAATTAAAATACATAAATGCATTAGTGAATTAATAATAATAATTAAAACTTTATATATAACAACAAAAAATAAAATTGTTTTCTATATTACAAAAATTATTTACACACTGTATAATAATAAATGTATAAGAAACATATAATAAAAATGTTACATTTTATTACAAATATTTTTGTAGATAAAACAGAAAATTGGAAATGTTTAGACTAATCATTTTCATTTATTTTAACATGAATTTCCTATATTTCCACTCACTTTAAATGTATTTAAACTTCTTTTCAATATTTAAAATTTACAACTTGAAACAAATTTTTATTTTATTGATAAAAAGTTGGTCTAAATTTCATATTCTTGATAGTAAATAACTGATTATTTTGTTATTTTCTCTCATTTACTCAATTTGATATAACACTTCAGTAAAAATAAGTTTTGTAAATCACTGTAAAAAATTTGTCATTTATCATGCTTTTGATTCTAATAAAACTTTTAAGTAAATAATTAAATCCCTTTATTATATTGTATTATTGTTACTATAGTAAACAAAATATCAACAGAATAGAATATATTTCTAATCCTAATTTTGATACAGTTAATCTAGCAATTCTTTATAACTTTCAAATAAACTTTAAAGTTTTAGCATGTCAAAATATCTAAAAATTATTTTTAACACAGCTTAAAATCCAAAATTTTAAACTTAATGACTGAACTGATGTTAATTTTAGTTTGTTATGTTATATTGCATATTGCATCACCAATAAATCTAAAATAAAATTTAATTTCTTCAATACCCATATACATAGATAAAGCCAAGACATTTTTTTTCTTAATTAAACGGTCATCATATGAATTTTCCAGTTTTAACATTTTTGAAAATATTTAAGATTAAAATTTACTGGTCCTTTTTTAATTATTATATTTATATTTTCAAAATATGGGCCTATGTATGTGAAGTATTAGATGGAGCATGTGTATGTAAATTATACATATACAGCAAAACTTCTCTTAGGTGACCATCTAAATTGTATGAAAAACAGTAGTCCTGGAAAGTGGTCTTCTAAAATAAATACACCATTTTGACAGCATAAAGCATTGTATTAACACAGTGACATAATAAAAAGATAGAAATACTGTGAGATAGAAAAAAAATGCATTTTATTTGCCTTGCTGGAAATTATCTAGTAATAAGTGCAAAAAATATATATATAAATTGTACACACATTATAACTTCTGTACTGTCTTATTCATATTGTAAATGTCACAATCACGTCTCATCTTGCCCACTCAGAAATAATTGGAATTCCTAATATCTATTCATCAAAAGCATCTTTGTTTACTTCTTCACTTTCAAAACAGCTTGAAACATAATGTTATGTCACAGATAAAACTTAACAAACCATCCACTGCTGGTATGAAAGGTTCAAACTCCAAGTTCCAAGGCAAACTTTAAAGCCATTTCTTGCATCATCAATCCTAAGACAGGCAAGCCTTTGAAACAACAATGATAAAAATCTACCCAAAATTGTTCTGATGACATCTTTATAGGATTTGGTATAACTTCATTTGATGTTCTCCATAATGTTTGCTTCCCATTCACAGATAAAGCTCCTTTTTGGCAAAAATTGTAGTATTTGAGTCTTCATATACTTAAATTCCTTTTCCAATTGTTGCTGCAATTTTCCAGCTTCACTTTGCTCAATACAGGAACTTTTTCCTTTAAAATAAGGAAGAAACTTCTATTTGTTACTTGACATCTTGCTTGCCCACAACTGGCTAAAATGAAACTATGAGCCCTAAATGTTGAGGTTAATTCTCAGAAAAACTTTACTGAAAAAGAAAGTGGATCAAGAAAGGAAAGAAAATATATTCAGTTGAAGATGAATCACCAGCCTGAATTTTACTGTAGTTTCTGAACATACATGCACACAGAACACACAGAAATTTAGAAAGATATTGTACTATAGTTTACAAATGTAAAACCACATTCTTATGAAAGAATTTAAATAATAAAATTAATCTAAAAATTAAATATAGTATGTAGTATAGACAAATTAAAATTCCCTCAAATATCTAACGTTATGATCTAAAGCAGCAGTTCCCAACCTTTTTGATTTGTCCCCTTGGCAGCCCATTTTTCTAAATTGTACCTATTACATTACAGAAATGTTTGTACAGTACTTTATACAGTTGTATTTTAAACTTGTTGCAACTGTAAATAAATAGCAGTGACATGGCAAGGAAGAAGCACAGGGCTGCTGAATTGATGAAAATTAAAAAGTTATCTGTACAGGTAAAAATGTTTAGTGTTCAGTGTTTTATCTACTTTTCTAATTACCACACCATTGCTCTTTGGAGTTGGTTAATAAAAAAAACCAATAATAAATTGTATACAGGTATACCTCGAGTTACATCGTTCTGGATATAAGTCGTTTGTTAAAAAATATATGGAAAAATACGTTATGGTTTTATTTGACTTTACGTCCGTCCACCACAAATATTGAAGTCATAATATCACTAGAAAAACATTAAAGCACATAAAATCATATTAAAACATGTACATTTACAGTAAATGTTTAATATAATCATCATAAATCCTAGAAAATGAAACATGAAAGCATCTGTGTTTCTGTGTTGTTGTCTTATTTAGCGGTCTATAAGTGCTCAATATTGGTGTTTTCAATGGTAGCTCCAATATCTACCGTTTGGCATCGTTGTCAGCGCCACTCAATATTGGTAAATTTAATATAAATTAGTTTATTTTCTACTGTCACAAGGTAATTTTAATAACTGTATTTGTTATTTAACATTAC